AGTTAGAAACATTATTTGAAAGCCTGTCACTCGGCACGAGGTACATGCAAATAATCATTAAACAATGCTTCTGATTGAAACATAACACAAAATCTTGTTCATTCTTCTTCTCACCTCTATTTCTTACAGCTACCCTGAGAAATGGATGTTGGTCACACCTGATTTATAGATGGGGCTCATTGAGGTTCAGAGATGTGCCCTAAGTCACACAGCTGCTGAGCACAGAAGCTAAGATCCGCACCTGGGTTTGCCTGGCTCCTGAGGCTACGCATTTTACATGGAGCCCCGTTGGCCTTTGGTTCCCCAGGCTTATAAATGAGAGTGTACAATGACTACTTCCCATTGAGGGCGGGAAGCAGCAGGCCCTGGGAAGCCAGGAGCCAAGGTGGGAGGGGGTGAGGGGCAGGGGCTCGGTACCTGCAGCACGGCCAGAGCCCAGGTGTAGCGGATGCGACAGCAGTGGAGAGAAGAACGGGAGGCAAAGACGCCAGCCTGGTACAGCATCTGGTACCTGAGGTGGGGGGAGGGAGGAGGAGGAAGCTCCTCTGGGCACCTGCACACTCCCTCCGCCCCCAGGTGCCTACTGGGCACAGCAGCCCCTCCCAGCCCCAGCCCCAGCCCCACCACACCATCAAGGGGCCCTCACAGCCCACCGCTCCCCTCCTCCTACCAGCGGTACTGCTGAGCGTGACTCAGGGACGTGTTCCGGAAAAACAGGAGCTCGAACTGCAGCAAAGACCAGACACGGGAGATGAACCAGGACGTGGACATGTGGGCCCCAACCCTGATTGCTCCCTCCACGGCCCTCCCTGCACCCCTCACTCACAAGTCCCTGGTTGATGAAATACTCAGCAAAGTACACCAGGACCAAGGGGACGATGTACTGCAGCAGGCTCTGGAAGAGTCAGAGGATACAAGTGGAAGGCCAGGAGGTGGGCACCACCCACGGGGGACACAACCACAGCCACCATCCAAACCTTGAACACAGTCCACCTCTCCTGAAGGGACAGGCCTGAGCTCGACCCTGCAGGGGAACAGGAAGAGAAGGGTGGATGAAATTTTCACACTGAAAGGCTCCGCAAAGGGGCACTGGTATGCCAGAATTCACCAGCCAACACAAGAGTGGGAACGGACTTAATTGCCACCAGATTCTACACTTAAAAATGGTTAAAATGGTAAACTTCATGTTATGTGCATATGTTACCACAATTAAAAAAAAAGAGTTAACCAGGTGAGACCTCTTTACAGTTCTTACACAGCTCAACAGATATCCACCTGCCCACTCTGCCCAGCCTCATTGGCCCTTCTCTGTTTCTAGAACATCCAAGCTCATTCCCACCATAGGGCCTTGGCACTTGCTACTACTCCAGTGACCAGAATGCCTGGCACATAGTAAGTGCTCAGTGAGTATTTCTTTTTTTTTTTTTGAGACAGAGTCTCACTCTCTTGCCTGGGCTAGAGTGCTGTGGCATCATCCTAGCTCATAGCAACCTCAAACTCCTGGGCTCAAGCAATCCTCCTGCCTCAGCCTCCCGAGTAGCTGGAACTACAGGCATGTGCCACCATGCCCGGCTAATTTTTTCTATTTTTAGTTGTTTGGCCAATTTCTATTTTTAGTAGAGATGGGGTCTTGCTCTTGCTCAGGCTGGTCTCGAACTCCTGAGCTCAAATGATCCACCCGCCTCAGCCTCCCAGACTGCTAGGATTACAGGCGTGAGCCACCGCGCCCAGCCTCAGTGAGTATTTCTTGAATATGTCACTGCTTTTCCTGTAATCAGGACACCTACCCTCTTCCCTTCTTGACTGTGTCCACTGTAGAGAGGAAAAGACTAAAACCCTGAGAGAGAAAGTGACCTTTCTCAGGGTCTGTGTCTCCTACCTGGCTTCGACGCTGGGGCCTCAGTGCCTATTAGGGGCTGCCGAGCCGCTGTCTCTGCCTCCTCTTCCCCTCCAGGGTCCTGGGGCTCCGGAGACGTGAGCAGCAAGAAATAGCTGGAGTAGGATGAAGACAGGGTCAAAGGGCCCCTGGCGGGCTGGAAAGGCCCCCGTTGACCATCAGGCCACTCTCCCCAGAGCCCTTGTTCTGACTGCTGGCTCACACCGGGAGAGTCGGTTCTGTTTTCTCGTCATCTTAATTCTAAAGATCGCTCCAGCTACCATTAATTATATGTTCACTCCGTGCTAGGCCAGAACTGCTCAAATTTTAGTCACTTATATTCTGGCTTCATGTTCTTTGCCATATCCACATTCCTCCTGTACATACTATTTTTTACTTAATATTTTCTTTTGAATTGACTCACTTTTTCTAGCTGGCCTTGTCCTAAGCAATAATCTGTGAATGCTCACATGTGATTGGCTAGTTCAAATTGTTTCCTCATATACATGAAAATACATACAGAACTAACGAAATAAGTCCACTCATGTCCCATTTGAAATTGTCTTGGGAACCACACTGTGCTGAATGCCTCACACTCATCACCTCACGGGAAAGGAGAACTACCGCTATTTGAGATACGGGGAAACCGAGGGTCAGAGAGGTAAGGTAACTTGTCCAACACCACACAGCTAAGAAGTGGCAGCTTCGGAACTCAAACCTAGGGCTGTCAGAGTCCAGAATCCACATCCCCTCATAGCGAGGTGGTAGGGATTTGAAGACTGGGATCATGATCAAGTTCTCTCTCCTTTAATCCCTCTTCCTCCCAGCTCAGGACAGCTCACCTGGCCAGCAGCAGGACAGGAATACCCAGCATGGACAGCAGGGTGTGCTGGGGGGAGAGGCCAGCCTGGGTGAGGCCCAGGTAGGATAGTGCCCCCAGCAGCCCTGCACCCCCAGTACCCGAGGACCACCAGGAGATCACAGCCCTGAGAAGGAGAACACAGGAACACTCAGGAAGACCCAAGCCAGCAGCAGGACAGCCTCTCCCCTCAGTCCTTGCTCCAGCTGCTTACCTGGGATAGAAGGCAGTGAGTGAGAGGAAGGTGACCTCCCCCAGGCCTGAGGAGATGCTAGCCAAGACTACACCTGAGAGGAGGATAAGCACAGAGGTGGCCATACCTAGCCTTTCCTCGACAGCCCGCGTCCCCTACGGTATTTGACCATGGCCGCCTCTGTATCAGCCCAAAGGGGCTAAAAACAGATCCCCTGGACACTCTGGGTTCCAGATCTGAAGCAGAGCCAACGCCCCCCTCCCCATGTCCTCTCACAGAGAACAGTACCTCCATCCACCCAGTTAACAGACCAGGAGCAAAACTCGTCCTCGACGTCTGGGTGACTCTGTTCACCTCAGTCTCCATCCAATCCATCCATTTCCTCCCATCTCCTCCACCACCTGCCCCTCCAAATTGCCCTCACCTCTGATCTCCTGCTTATGACAGCCCTAACAGGCTTCTGAGGCTTACAGAAATAACCCCTTTCCTCTGAGAAGTTGGGGAGACCACCCCCCATAAACACTGTGTTCCCCTGGGCCCCCCACCTGACACAGAACCGCACACTCACCACACAAGCTGGTCCCCACCGAATGAGAAAAGGCAACCAGGATGAAGCTCCCAGCAGCACAAAGCCCACTGACGAGAACCCGAGGGCTGAGGGTGAGGAGGGATAGGAAGGGGAAGGTTGGCCTCCGCTCTCAGCCCCTAGCCCTCCCACCTCCTCCTCCTGTGTCACCTCCTTTGCCCTCCCAGCCTCCCCACTCCCAGCCCCCACCTGCCCTTCCTCCCACCACCCACACCCAGACCTGTAGGGCAGCAGGTGAAGGCCAAGAGGAGCCAGCAACTTTATGCCAAAGGTGGGGAGGATGTCTGCCAGGAGCACCGCCTGGATGGGAGAACAGAGTGAGAGCCCAGACCTTCCCAGGGACAACCCTCCCCACCAAGTGGCCAAGGAAAGGCCGGAGCCAGACAATTAGGCCTTCTACAAACACAGGGTCTGGAGTCAGGCAGATCTTAGTTCAAGTCTCAGCTCTGCTGCTTCTTAGCTGTATGTCAAGGCATTTATATTCTTTGAGCTTCAGTTTCCTCATCTGAAAAATGGGGATGATTACAGTGCCTAGCTCCCTAGCTCACAGGTCTGCTATGTGGATTAAATGAGCTAATATACGCTATATACAGAAAGGGCTCAGTAAATGGTGGTCTCAATTATTTTCATCATGATGGTCCCAGCTGAGTACTGAGAGGTCAGGGGGTGGGGTCTATAGACCCAGAGGGCCTGGGTCAGGAGAGGACAGATGAGTACGCACAGCCGTGGAGACAGAGTTGCAGTCAAATCGAGAGGAGCTATTGAGGGGGATGGGCGTTGGGCCTGGGTCCACCTGGTGAGAAAGGAGAAAGTCTTTCATCCAGGGAGGCAGAAGCATGGACAAACAGAGCCCAGCTCCTATCCCAGCTCTGCCTTAACTTGAAAGATGGCATTAGATCAGCACTGGCCTTCTCTCTATGTGCACAGTGGAGGGGTATTTCCGTGTTAAGTCACAAACTAATGGCCCACAAGCCAAAATAGTCCTGGAAACAGATTCTGTTTGGGTAACACATTTAAGAGCTTTCATATAAAAATTTGGGTTTCCAGAAAATCTGATCCAGGCCCAAATTCACTGTTGGACCTGGAAGGTGATAGCTGCTCCCCTTGGACAGGGCGTGCGCCCTCCAGCTCACCGTGGACAAGTGGTTCTCAATCAAGGGCACTTTTACCTCCCCAGGGAACATTTGGTAACGTCTAGAGACATTCTTGCTTGTCACAGCTGGCAGTCATGGGGTGTGCTACTGGCATCTAGCAGGCAGAAGCCAAGAATGCTGCTAAACATCCTACAATGCACAGGAAAGCCCCACAACAAAGACTCATCCAGCCCAAAATGTCAGTAGGGCCCAGGTTAAGAAACCCTGTCACAGATTCTGGTCCCACTCAGCCAACATTTGAGCTTGCAAACCCGGCACCCATTCACCCCTTAAAGGCCCTTCCTGCTTTGAGGGTCTGGGAGACTGGGAACTTTAGCCCCCTTGTCCCACCCCTAGGCCACCCTATTTCATGAGTTTTTCAAGGGGGCCTCTAACCCAGGGTGAGTCTCTCATCTTCGCACAGGGCTTAACCATGGTGGTGGTGGAGAGAGGGGATCACTTACGTGGCTCTGGTTCCCAGGTACCCTCTCATGGCTAAGGATGTCATGGGCAGCACTCAGCATCACCACATAAGAGAAGTTGTTGCAAAGACCTAGCAGCCTGGAATGAGTGGGACAGATCTCAACTTCCTTTCAGGCCTTTAATCTATCGCAGTGTTTGTGCGAAACCTCCCCCTCACCTGTGCCCTCCAATCAGCTCCTTCTTTTTTTTCCTCTGTCACCAGATCCCACCTTTATTCAGTGTTGGGGTCAGAGATAGAGGCTTTAGGATCAGAAACTTGGGTTCAGTTCCAACCTCGGAGACCTCTACCAGGAAGCTATCCTTGATCACTGTCTCCTCTGATCTCCTACTAGGATTCAGTTCCTGGGGGCATTTCTCACCCACTGATACACTGTGGTACACTAAAAAAGAATCCTGGGGCTGAAACCCAGAGGACTTTGTTCAAGTCCTGAGTCTGCCACTTCTTAATTTTGTGGCCTCCATCTACTCATGTAAAATGGGGATACAAATTTCTCTCCTGATTACCTCACAGAGTGCTGCAGGGATAAAAACGAGTCCATACCAAAGCCCTTTATGATCCATGCGAAGGATCTTATTCACTTACTCTCATCTCTGAGAGCTACACTCAGTGATGGGAAGGAAACTGAGCCCAGTGCCAGTGATTTCATAAGTGACCTTTCCCCAAGCCTATGAAGTGGTACTACAGTACTCTTCCTTCACATCTTACTGTTGAGGAAACTGAGGCTCAGAGAGGTTAAGTGACTCTTCCAAAGAACACATGGGAAGCCACTTCCAACCCAAACTGCCACCCAAGTCCTTGATGTTTAGGTTAATGCTACAAGTATTCCCCAAGGCTCAGTATTTGAATAATTCTAGAAGGTAGGTGGATGACTTTTTAAAACATTCTAGTAGTGATGCATTTATTTACACATGCATTAGGAAAATATTGGTTTTCTCTTTGGAGTAGTGATTTAAAGTTTTCTTTTTAAAAATATGTGTATTAAAAAATTTTAAAGCTGAATTGATTGGAGGAAAAACATGAAGTAAATAATCCTACACGTGGTATGAGGATCTGGCTAAAGCCTGAAGGCGGTAAGAAGAGGAGTGAAGTTTGAAAAATTTATGCGTCACCTCAGGGCAAACCTGTTGACTCAGTAACTACCTATAGATTCAGCTCCTTCGTGCAGCTCAGCTCTTTCTTCCCCTTTCCCTCCCGTCACTTCCCTCTTCCCAACCCATTGTTACTTTTGCTGAACTCCAGGCCACTCACCAGAAGCCCACCGCGTTCTTCCAGTGGGCGCCCTGATGGTCTAACAGAGGGGGCTGGGGATCCGAGGTGGTCTCCTCCCCTGGGAGGGCGAGAAGAGAGCATGACCCCCCACCCCACTCTCAGGGGCATGACGGCCCCATGGGTGTCCTCCCGGGGCCGAGGCAGCTCTCACTCCCGTCAGGTGGGGTGCGAGCCAGACGTGGTCACTCCCGTGAGGATGGGCGGTAATACTCACCCTCGGAATCCGAAAGGCTCCGCCACGAGCCTGCACGTCCTCCCATGGCATCAAGTTCAGGTCCCCCGAGGGTCCAAAGTCACAGAGTGTTCTTCAGAGTGGGCTTTGACGGGATAGGTGAAGGTCTATGACAGGTGAGAAGGATCAACGCCCCATTGCCGGTCCCAGCTCCGGCCTGCCTGCTGCACTCGCGCCCCGCGATCCATGAGGCGAACCCCAGACTCCATCTCGAGCCACCTCACGCCCTCCCACGCCCCACCCGTCGGCCTCTGCCCCCGCCCCATCTATAGCAGGGGGCGCTGTGACCTGTACCTTTAAGAGCCGCAGAGCGTTCCGCACCGAGGAGTGGCAGGTTGTTGGATCACGTGACAGCATCCGCGTGTCCCCCATCACGTGCTCGGAGATCCTCCCTACTTCCGGGTCCTCCCTCCGTTTTTACTTTAGGCCGTCTCAGCTTTGGGGCGTGAGAAAGGAAGAGGCCGGAGAACCCTGGAACCCTTGGCTTTAAACTGGAGCGGTGGGATCAGCAAGTTAGCAACGCGACGTTACATTAGCTGCGCCCAAGGCGGTGACGGTATCCTGCCAGGACTAGTCATGGCTGCGGGAGGCTTCAGGTCCTTTCCCTCAGCACTCACGTGCCAGAAACAAATATGGCCACCTGGCTAATCCTTTTTTCAAACAAGACTGTTTCTGGCTGGGAACAAAGACGCCAGCTGTAGGTTATTCTTACTCCTACCTGTTGCTCTTACAAATTGTTTTAGAAATCTAAAATAAAGATAACACTCACCTGAAGAAATTTCATGAATTATCTATGGGCGGTATCCAAGACGTTAAAAGATCCCTTTCACCAATTATCCTGGAACCAAAAAATATCACGGAAGTAGTCCAATTCCTGGTTTTACAGATGGGAAAACCGTGGTACCAAAAAAAAAAAGTAAAGTCACTGACATCTAAAGGTGACCTTAGAGATCCCCTTGGCAATAAGAAATAGAGCACCATAGGCGGGGAACCACTGGGCAGGCTGCTGCAGGATTCCTGCCTCCATCAAGGGTGCTTAGACCAGATGATTCTAAGGCCTAAGATTCTGATTCAATTACCCTAATTTGAAATTAAGCTAGGGCTGGGGAGAGAGGATGGGAAAGAACTGTAGATCGAGATCACTTCACATAGTCCCAAATAAGGAGTTATATCCTTACCTTCCTCTAGGTGGTAAAGCAGCATCCTGAATTCTCTTCGTGGTGTACTTCCCCTGCCAACGTCTGCTGTGGGCTTCCAACAGGCTGTGCCCACCTCTACTAGCTCTTTCTCACCACCAGGCCTTCAGACTGTTGTTTAAAATATAGCCTCTCTAGTATGCTTCCCAGGTCACTCAACCAATGAAAAAATGGGGTCCTACTATCACGCAGGGCTCTAGAAATTCAGCAGTGTTTCATACACTGCCTCTGCCCTCAAGGAACTCACAGGAGGGTGGCTGGTAGACACAAATAACCACAATACAAAGTTTAGCCAAGTTCCCTTTTGCAAGATTAACCACAGATGAGGGGATGGGCATTGCAGCCACCAATCCAGCCCCTTTGTCCCCTTGGGGAAGCCTTAATGACACTGAAATGAGAAGACAGAGCTCCTACCAGCCCCCTCCTCACTCCTACTGCTTGTCCCCAGGCAAAACAGGAACCACAAACCCCAGCTTCCTCTCACAGAGTGGCTGTGGCTTGGGGGAGACGGAAATGGCTGAGGTGTGAGGTGTGAATACGAGACCTGAGTCACTTGAGCTGCAGTTGCCACATGCCCCTCCCCCATTACCAATTCTGAGGTCTCTTGCTCCCACTTTTTTCTTTCTGGCTTCCCCTTTGCCCTTTAATTCCAATGTGCACCTGAGTCCTCTGTGATGCCAACCCATTGCCCAGCCGGAAGTGGAGGCTGCAGTGGGCATTGGGGCAGTGGGCAGGGCCTGGGGTGGGTATGCATGCGTCAGGGGAAACAGGGGAAGAGGAAGTGTCTTGGGTCCCGGGGAAGACTGCCTTGTAGGTGGGGACGGTCATTGTCAGCTTTCTGGACACACAGACAGAGACAGACAGGATGGACTTCCTCCGGCTATACCTCCCTGGGCTCCATCAGGCCTTGAGGGGGGCACTGGTGAGAGGGGCAAAGAGATGCCAGAGACTTTCACCCTGCTCCCAGGAACTTGCCTTGGGGCCTCTCCCCGGGGCCTCACCTTCCCTCCTCCCTTTGAACTTCTCCTCAGCTGGAGATTCCTTTCTTGGGATCAGACAGCCCCCTAGCCCAATCTTTTCTGGATTTCAATCCCTCTACCTCCACAAACAACTCCACATGCCCCCAATCTAGGCCCTCTCTCACTTTCTCTGCAGATCCTGCTCTCTTTCTCCTCCCAGATCCCAGAACCCCTCTTGCTTGTCCTGGCTCCTCCAGCCCAGGGCCCCCAGGGCAAGGGCCGGGCCTTCCCTTAATGCCTTCCCCTCCCACCCCCGCCTTCTTCTAGGATTCCTTCGGCACCTTTGTCTCCTACCTCATAGGAGATGCAGTCCCCACTGTAGAGAGGGAGGCGCAGGCAGCCGAGGAACTGGGGGCGATGGCTGTAGAAAGGCCAGGGAAGACTGTGGAAGAGGAAGCCCAGGAGGGCCTGGAGGGCCTTAGAGGTGGCCAAAGCAAGGGGGATGGAAGGCTGGGAGGGCCTGGAGAGGCCGGAAGATGCCAAGGGGGAAGCTCAGCTGCAGAACAAGCCCAGGGCTGGGGAGACAGCAGCTCCCATGGGTCCCAAACAGACAGGCAGGACACAGGGGTCTGGAAGGCAGCCAAGGCTGCCAGGTGCCAGGAGTCAAATGTCCCCTGGGAGTCTGGAAAGAAGTCTGAGGTAGGGTCTGGGGCTCAACGAGACAGGAGCAGCCAAGCCCAGGAAAGGCAGGAGCCCGAAGAGCAGGAAGTGAACAGAGGGGAGACGCTGAGAACCTGGGAACAGGAGGAGGAGGAAGAAGTCAGGGCAAGAGAGCCAGGGATGGCCAGAGGGGCGGAGTCAGAGTGGACCTGGCACAGGCAGCCTGAGGGGAAGGCTGCTGCCGATGGGCAAAAGGTGGCAGGGGACAGCAGGGAGACAGAACAGGTGGTGAAGGAGGCAAGTGCAGCGGAACCTGAGAGGCCTGGGGCTAGAGAGGTTGGGAGGGAAGAAGAGGTGGCAGCAAAGGTGAGGGGTAGCCAAAGCACAAGTGCACAGGGGATACAGAGCCCGGGGGAGGAGTCTGAGGACTGGGCAAGCTCAGGCAGAGAGAAGGCTGAGACAACCTGGGGCAGGGAGGAGGCTTATCTCCCAAGAGTCAGGGAGACAGAATATGGGCCAGTCCCCGGAGAAAGGATCCCACAGGCTACTGGGAGAGTCTGGGTGCTAGAGGAGGGCTCCAAGGGAGCCCAGGAGGGGGAGGTGGGTGAGAAGAGAGAGGCTGAGGTGAGTCTTTTCCCCAAACAGGCCCAGGCCCTGGGCCCTGACGCAGTGGAAGAGGCAGCTGAGGGCCAGACAACAGGGAGGGAGGCTGCGGGGGGCCAGGAGTGGGAGGAGGAGGCAGGGGAGGGCTTGGAGGACCGGGCAGATCAGCATGGGAAAGAGGCTGAGCAGGCCAGTCTGGAAGATGTGGTACAGGCAGAGGAGGTCCAGGAAGAGAAAGGGAGGTGCTGGGCCACAGAGGCTGAGCTGTCCCCAGACAAAGAAGCCAGAGGTGATATTGACTTGGAGGCAACCACAGAGGCCAGGCCTGAGGAGTTCACAGGGCAGAGGAGTGAGGAGGCCCAGACGAGTCCAGAAGCACCCAGGGTGGAGCAGGGTGGCCTCCAACACAAGGTCACGGAAGGCCAGGAATCCGAGCAGATGGGAGGCACCCAGACCCCAACAAAGCAACCTGAGGAAGGACAGGGTAGTAAGGAAGAGCTCTGGAGAGTTCCAGCCCTGAGCAAAGAGGGGACGGAAAGGAGCCTGGAGGACTATCTTGGGCACCTGGGGTGTGTAGAGCCTGAGGTCTCACAGGCTTTCCCAGAAGCCTGGGGAAACCAGAGGAGAAGGGATGGGGAGAGAGGAGATACCCAGGAGGAAGAAGCAGATGCCGAAGAGGAGGGGGAGGTGGAAGAGGGGGAAGAGGAGGCGCAAGAGGGGGAGGGGAAGGACTCAGCAGTCCAGGCCCTGGAGGCAGAGGCCAGAGGAGGCCAAGAGTCTGAACTACCTGAGGTCCTGGAGGCCGGTGGGGAGGAAAAGAAAGCAAAGGAAAGGGAGTGTGAAACAGAGGTCTCTTCGGTAGCAGAGACCCAGGAGCTGAATGGCAGCCCTAGGCCAGAAGCGGGGACAGGCCCCTCACTCGGAGAGTCAGATGCCAGAGAAACCAGGCCTGGGGAGATAGAGGCCACAAGGCCACAAGAGGCAGACAGAACATCTAGGAGAGGCTGGAGGATGGAGGGGGCAGCTCTGGGCCTCGGGGACAGGGAGAACACACAGACCAGAGCTTTGGCTGCAGAGATGGTGGAGGATATGGCAGATCTGGACGTGAGGGCTGCTGGGGCAGAGGCCTCTTGGGAGGGGGAGTCTGGGAGGAGCTGGGACTCAGAAGGCAGAGAGGCAGCTGCAGCCACACAGAGCAGAGGTGGGCAGGAGTTTGGCCTGGAGGGCTCAGCAGAGGAAGAGGTGGTTGGCAGAGGTGGCTTAGCAGAGGCTTTTGAGGCCAGGGAGGGAGAACATGGGATAGGGCAGGCAGAGGCTGGGGACTCTGCAGAGGCAGAAGGAAGCTGTGGGCTGGATCACTTGAACTTGGGCTCCCAGGCAGTGAGGACAGAGGGGACCAGAGCCACAGTGGAGGCTCAGGGGCTCCTGGGAAAGCAGATGGTTTTGGAAAAAGAGGCTGGGGGGTGGCGAGCAGGAGAGCAGAGGAAGGACAGTGAGGGGGAGCATGGGGACTGCCACCCTGAGGGAGAGGCGCAAAGGCCCTTTGATGAGGAGGAGATCCTTGAGGAAGAGATCCAGGTGACCGGGGGCCAGACAGAGGCTGAGGAGTTGGACCCAGAAGGCCTGGGGCACATCAAGGGCCAGAAGGAGCCAATAAACCAGGACCCTGCAGAAGCTGTGCCTGGGCCACTCGGGGACGCTGAGACCACAGAGGCCACAGGCAATGGCGGAGGGGATGCTCACAGCAGCTGGAGTGAGGTGAGGGCTCCAGTGGGCAGGGTCCAGGGCCGGGCAGGGCAGAATCTCAAAGCCAGCCCCATAATCCTCTGTGCCTCCTTCCCTGCAGGCCCTGCTTCCCGGGTCCCGCCTGGATGTCTCTGTCCCAAGAAGCCGGGTACTCCTCTCACGAAGCTCCTCCCAGCGCCGCTCCCGGCCCTCTTTCTGTAGGAACCCTGCCCCTGAGCAGCAGGAGGAGCCCCCCAGCCCCCAGCCCAAGGAGGGGCTGTCAGCTCCAGAGCAGAGTCTGCTACAGCTGGAGGAACCCCCAGAGGCAAGGCCTCTGAGGCCTGAAGGGAGCCCGGTGCCAGCCAGAAGGCCCCTGGGACACGGGTAGGCACAAAGTGGCTGGGCTGGGATGGAGGAGGAGGCTGTGGGCATCTGGGGACTGGCCCTGTCTTCCACCTGCAGGTTTGGCCTTGCACACCTCGGCATGATGCAGGAACTGCAAGCCCGCCTGGGCCAGCCAAAGCCCCAGTAACTGAGACTTGACGCCCTGGGAACCAGCCCTGAGTGAGGGGCAGAGGCTCACTTGGACCCTGCTCACCCCTCACTCCTTCTGCCAACCTGGACACATCCTTTCTACCCTCTGAGCCTGTTTCGTAGTGTGTCCTTCATGGAGTGGACAAAACCAGACATTTGTGAAGACTTTGAACTTAAGGAATCTGATTCTCCAATGCAGGCTGGTGGGCCACCTACCCCACTGGAACCACTTTTCAGGGTCCCTGCCCTGGTTACCTCCCCAGCCTATCTCAGCTGTCCAGAGACCAAACAGAGGACTGAGAGGGGACAGAGACCGTTCTGCCCACAGCCTCCCCTCTCTGGCCCCTCTCCCCAGCCCACCTCCCACCCAAGCCCCTCAGAGCTGTGCAGGAGTAACGAACCTCTGGGTGTGATGCCAGCCCAAAGGCGGGGGGTTAGGAGAACCTCATAAGCACCGCTGGGATCCAGGGGGCTGCCCTGAGCTTCCAAAATAGTAGCTCAGCCTGGGAGTTCTGCTGGTTACTATGGCAACTGCCCAGCTGAACAGGCCATAGTAGGGGAGGATGGATCAGGGGCCCCAAAACCACAGCATCAGAGATGGGTGGCCAGAGGCTGCCAACTCCGTTCCAGGCCATCCCACCCTTTGGGTGTCAGGCAGCCCTACCCTGAAAAAAAGCTGAGGCAGGGAGAGGGTGAGAGTGTTTTATTAGGTACCCAGCATGGTGGCCAGGCCCTGAAACAATAAATAAACCATCATCTCCCTAAACAATAAATAAATATCCAAGAAATAAATAGCTGGCAAGAACTGGAGGGGCTTTAAGTTATTGGATAGGGCCTGGGGCTGGGGGCTGGTGGAGGCCTGCCTTGTCTAAGGCATATGAGCTGGAGCTGTCCTGTTGGCCAAGACTTCAGTCCTAAAGTCCTAAAGGGTGAGGGGTAGGAGGCTAAGAAGTCACCCCGTCAGGGCTGGGGGCCAGGTGTTGGGAACCCCAAGGCCTTGGCTGGGTTTCCAGCCTTGGACAGCAGCAGCAAGTCCCGCACGGCCCGAGATAAGACAAGCTCCAAGGAGTGCAGCAGCTGGTAGGTGTAGAGCAGCCGGGGCCAGGACACCTGGGCCGGCACCTGCAGGGGGCTGCCAGGAGCCCCTGGGAGAAGGCCCTTCCCCTCCTCCTTCTCCTCCTCCTCCGGGAGGTTGAATCCTGCAGCCAGCACCTGTGAGGAGAGGCCCACGGGTCAGAGAGCAGCCTGGCCGAGAGCCTGACCGAATCCTTGTTTCTTATATGTGCCCAACGGCTCACAGGGACATCAGACCATGAGGTCATGATTTCCCTGGACAGCCCCTACTTCATATCTTCCATGATGTCATCATGTCATGTGTCCTACCTGATTTCTCGGTTCAAGAAAATGAAAGTCACGGAGCAAGATGATGCTCACAGAGCTGGGTCACTCCCCTGGGAGTGCCCTGGGGGTTGGGGTTCAGGAAGTATCTCTCTGCTGTTAAGGATTGTTGCAGAATCAGAAATGGGCAGGGGGTGACATGGCTAAGTTTCCATACTGATTGCATTTTCTATTCTCCTTTTATTAAGGGGAAGATTACTATTTCCCTTTGAAAGGTTCAGGAGGATCTGGGTGATGTCAGAGAGTCAGGGAGAAGGGAAGCAACTCTGCTGATGCCGGATGCGGTCCTGGGTGCTTCAGAGCTGTTCTCTCATTTACGACCAACCCCCAGGCCAGGCATGGTGGTTCACACCTGTCACCCCAGCATCGTGGGAGGCAAAGGTGGGAGGGTTGCTTGAGCCCAAGAGTTCAAGACCAGCCTGGGCAACATAGTGAAACCTCGTCTCTATAAAAAAAACAAGAAAAAAGTCAGCCAGGCATAGAGGCATGTGCCTGCAGTCCCAAGCTACTTAGGAGGCTCAGGTGGGGAGCAGCATTTGAGCCCAGGAGTTGGAAGCTACAATGAGCTATGATGATGCCACTGCTGGGTGACAGAGCAAGACCCTGTTTCTAAAAACAAAACAAAACAAAAACCAATCCCCAGGAGAAGACAAATCAGAGATTATGAGGCAGCTCCAGGGCTCCAGGGCCTGGTGCAGCTGTACACACATGCGCACTCACACTCAGACACGCTGCCACACACATTGACTCACTCTCACATCACACACACTCACTCACACATGCACCCTCGGAGTATCTGAAGCATCTCCCTCCAGACTTCCCAACCTGTGGGAAGTGGAGTGTTTTAAAAAGGTAGCCAATGAGCCTTGATTTGGCGTGCTGGCCCCTGGGAGTGGAGGAGCGGTGGGCACACTACCTGGAAGCGGAGATGCCACTGCAGGTCACGGAGGTCCAGCCGCATGGCCCACAGCCGCATCCTCTCAGAGCTGGTCCAGTCCCCCTGGCTCCCCAGCGCCCCCAGCAGGGCATGGAAGGGCCGAAGCGTCGTGGAGAGGAAGCAGAGTCGTTCTGGGTCCTATTGAAGGGGAGGGAAAAGGTCAGAAAAGGCCCATGGGCCAAGGATGACCCATGTTAAACCCAAACCCCTGCCTATCTGGTTCTCATTCCCATTCCATATGCCCACCTCCATCCATCCCATCCCTCTTCTCACCCTCCGCCCCACTGCCATCCCCATCCCCTCCTGTGCGCTCACCCTCCCCATCTCCACTGTCCTCAACCTCCCCTTCCAGCCTCCCTTGCAGCCCGACGCCCACTCTTCTCTAGCTACCCAGTGCCACCCCCACAGCACTCCCCATCCGAGCCCCATCCCATCCTCTTCTCCACCGTCCTGTCCTACCTCCTGCTCACTTCATCCCCTTTCCGCCCTATTCCCATTCCTAATCTCAACTCCGTCATTCTCCCTGCCTTTCCATCATATCTCTAATCCACCCTCCACCCCATCCCCTTCCCGTGCTGGGCTTCGCACTTACCCTCTCCCTAACCCCACTTCCTCACTCCAGCTCCATCTTTATATCCAGTGACACATCCTACCTCACCTAGACCTACCCCAAACCCATCTTCAGCCCAATCCCCAGCTTCATGTCCACATGCCCCAGCCCCAGCCTAGCCGCTTCGCACCCCACCGCACCGGTCTCACTCACAGAGAGGCGGCGCCAGACGTGGAAGCTCAGAGAGACGTTGGGGAGCTGCTCTCCCAGGGGCAGGAGGTCCAGGTTCACTCCCGGCAAGTGAGATTGAGCCTGTGGGGCAAGGCCTGTTAGTGGGGGCCAGAGGGGACTGGGGCTCTGCCCAGTCCACCCCCAGAGCCACATTTAGGGAGACTCACAAAGCGGTGGGCCTGGCCCCGAACCTCAGAGAGCAGCTTCCTGGCGAGGTGCAAGCTGACTGCGAACTCCCTTCGCAGCTCCTGCAGGCTCAGGGGGGGCCTCGGGAATCCCCAGACACCGGCTCGAACCAGGAGCAAGGACAGTAGCAACAGGCTGAGCCCTGGAGAGACGCGGCGGGGTGGGGGGGCCGTGGGGAGCAAGACAAGAAGAGAGTTTAAGAACTCGGGAGAAGGGAGGGACATGCCTTTTCTGAGCTGTGCAGGCACGTTCATGGACTTCTTCCCACTGCCCCTCAAAACCACCAGGGGCTATCAAGGCCACCAGGTGGCATCTCTGCACAGAGTGCCCACCTTTGCAAGCAGACTGGAAGCTGGATCTTGACTCCCCGCCCCACTAACTCCCTCAGCCAAGGGCGTTTTTCAGTGAACAGCCTGCACAACTGCAGGTGGTAGCCTAGATGTTATTATTCTCCCCATTTTGCAGATGAGGAAAGTGAGGCTCAATAAGGTTGATTTGCCCAAGGTCAGAAAGCCAGAGGGTGGGGGAGCCAGGACTGGATTCCAGATCCTTCCAAATGCATAGCCCATGTGCTTTCCCCAGGGGACTCAGAAGAGGCAGCCACCTGCCCCAGGATTGGGCACACTCTGTTCTGTTAAGGATTCCTTGGGCTCAGCCAGGCATCTCTGATGGCTTGAACTGGCCCCTAGGGTCCCAGGGGTGGGTTGGGACTGCCAGAGGCTCTATCCCAGGGAGTCAGAAGGACAGGTTGGTCCAGCCTCCACCAAGGCAGGTGGGTCACTGCGCAGGGAAACCTGCCTGGGGCAAGTATACAGTGTGGGAGAGGGAAGGGTGAGGGGTACCAGGAGCGGGGGAGGACCTAGAATGGGAGGCAGAAGCTCTCTTTCTCATCCTGGCCTTCCCCTGTGCCTCAGGCCCCCATCTGTAAAATGGGGGAGTCAGAATAGCTGATTTCTGAGGGTGCTTCCTGCTCTGCGTTTTCCTGGAAAGAGGAAAGAAAGGCGATGGGGTGGGGGCTCCAGAGAGAGGGCAGTGTTCAGCAGTTTCTCCCTCAGGGAGAGGAAATCCAGCAATCAGAGGAGTTACACAATTCTCCTCGAAACACAAACCAAAACTGGCCCCGAGTCCATCCCTGCTCTCCCTCCGCTCCTGCCTCTTCCCTGTCCATTCTCAATCTCTAATCCCTGAGTGCTGCTCCTTGAAATGTCTCCTCAGTAAAGGTTATGGGGAGCTTCTAGGGATACCCACTTCCCTTATGGATCTCCAGAGGTGGTAGGCAATGCCTAAGAGCTTTGGCATTCAGCTTCCCTGGCTTGGGGGCTACTCTGACCCTCTGACATCCTGGAGACTTAAGGCAGAGTGGGGTTCTTCCTAGTTTCATGTTGCAGACAGAGTAGGTACCCCCAGGCCCTGGTGGATATTGCCCACTGAGAATTTAACTGAGCCATCTCCTACTTATCCCCCTTTCCTGACCGAGCTCTGGAGCCCCCAGGCCCTCTCCCTACCCTCTGTGGCCAGTCCTGGGTCCTTGGCCCTGACCTTTGAAAGTTCTGTCTCCATCCTCCAGCCGTTGGCCCCTATCTGGCCATGTTACCTGTTCCTCTGCCTACAACTCTGGTTCTAGCCACCGAATTCTTCAGCCACCAACTGCAGATTGGTCCTCTTTCCAAGCTGAAGACCCTTGACCCCATTAGGCTGCTGACCCTTGACCTCAGTGCACCCCTTGTGCCACTCCTCCTGCCATTCTTCCTCTAGCCGACCCCAGTCCTCCGTCTTAGCCAAGCTGTCTGGCCCCTGCTCATTCTCTCCAAACTCTTCGTTTATCTGCCTAGTCTCGGCCCTTGTCAAACTGTCTATCCAACCCTCCCACTCATGCTAGCCAAGGCTTCCCATCCTCTGCCCAGCCCTGGTCAAATCACCATCCATCCATCCTCCACCTCTCCTCCCCATTCATGCCAGCCAAATCTTCCCACCCTCCACCCAGCCCTGGGCCCAAGCACTACCCCATTGCTCCAGGCCCCCACCCCAGTCATGCCGGCCTCATTCCCATCCTCCAGCCAGCCCCCAGCCCTCGGCCCCATCCACAGTGGCCAAGCTCACCCGTTCTCTGCCCAGTCGCAACCAAGTCCCCACCCTCCGCCCCCGCCTTGGCCTCAAACTCACGCCAGCCAAGGTCGCCTGCCATCTGGCCCATGTCGGGGCCCAGCCTCTTTGGCCAGCCATCTCCTGGGTAGGGGGGGTCTTATACTGGGGGCTGCACCCGGTTTCACTTTCCGTCCTGCTTGTACTTTCAGCTTTGTATTCACTCAGTCTTCCCTCCTCACCACCCCTTGCTAAAATGGGGAAATGTAATTTCCCTTCCCAGAGGGGGTGGGAGTTATGGTGGGGGGTGACGGGAAGCTGGAGTTTCGGTCAATCAAAGCTCTGGAGCTACTGCTCAGCTTCCAGGTCCAGCCCTTCACTCAATTCCCCACTCCTGGGTAAGCCACGGGCTCTATTCCCTAGGAGGTCCCAGAGACTCAAACCCCCTCCCATGTCTCTGCTCTGCCATCATCATCCCAGGGCCATTACCAGCCCACTGTCCTTCAAAAGATAGATGGCCAGGTAAGGGGATTGCCCACCAGAGGGGACTTGGGGTTTTGAGTCATCCTTACTCTCTTCTGGTTTACCAGATGGCTGAGGGAGGGGTGTGAGGGAAGTCAGAGCTCAATGGGTGGCTGGGATGGGTTCTTGTACAGAGCAGGCAGAAACTTAGTCTGATGGTGTCTGGGCTCGATTGGAGCTCATTCTGTAACTATGGTCAGGGCAGGATAAGAGCAGGTCCAAGGCCATGTCTGGGACCAAGGTCAGGGCCATCCAGGGCCAAGGGCTCAGTCTCTGGCCAGAGTCAGACATAGGATTAGAGCTCAGTCTATCACCAGGGCCAGGACTTGCTCTAGGGCTGGACTCAGAGCCTAGTCTGGGGCCAATGTCCTGGCTCTGTGTTTGGGGTCAGAGCTATCAGTGACCTGGGGCTCTTCTTGTGGCCTGTCAGGGTTGGGCCCAGAACTCAGTTCAGATCTGAGACAGCGCTCAGTCTGTGACCGAGGTTCTGAATGAGGCTCTTGTCACCCAGGTGAGGGCACAGGCTTGGGCTAGGATAAGAGCTCAGCCAATGACCAGGATCAGGGCTCACCCTGTAGTCAGACTGGGGTTGTGTGAGGTCAGGATCAGGGCTTAACCAGGCCCCAGAATAATGTTGGTGTTTCTGCTCTGTAGAGACCACTGTCAGGGTTGGGTGGCAGCAACCACAGAGCTCCCTTCCAGCACGGCCCTGCCTTCGGCCCCGCCCTGGATTTCCCATCTTCAGGGAGAGGATGGGGTTTCTTGGTCTTCCCCGGGGCCCACTGCTGCCACTTTCCTTTTGGGACCTGTGGGGTTTCCCTGCTGGGTCCCTGCTGTGAGACAGAAACCAAGGGGGCTTCCCCTGCCTGTTCCTTGCCTCCTCAGCCCCCACAGGCACTGCTCGCCAGGTTGCCAGGGCTGCTAGGACCAAGTGCCAGCGAAGTACCAGCATCTGCCCTGGGAGCAGCCCCACAGGGCAGCTGGAGAAGGACAGGGATGTGGGGCTGGAGCCTCCCAAACCCACACAGGGATTCTCTGCAGTGCCCCCCAGTGGTGGCAGCTCATTCTCCCACATCTGTAGCTTGGGCTTCCCACTGGGGCTGGGGTCCGGCACGTCCCCAGACTGACTGTGAGGACAGTGGCCTGGCTTGTCTTCTGCACATCCCCAAGTCCTGCTGTCATCCTGAAGCCATGCCACCCACTCTGCCCCTCAACCACTCCGGTCCTCCCTCCAATCTCCCCACAGCCCCTCCCACCCTCTGCCAGCCCCCAGAACTGCTATACCTTTCAAATCTTGAACTTGTCTCCCACTCTCTGACCACAGCCTCCCCACCCTCCAATGCCCTCTCAGGGCTCCCTGAGACCCTGTCCCACGCTGCTCCTCTGCCCTTCTCAACCCGGCTGCCGCGGATTCCTCCAAGCTCACCCTCACCCTCTTCCAGCTCCAGCAACTTTCCACTCGTGTCAACGAGATGAGCCACCTCATACTTCCTTGCCTATGCACAAGCCATTCTCTGTCTGGAATGCCATCCTGCCTTCTCTGGAGTTCCCCCTCCCCAGCCTTCCCTGCACCCATACGCCCTGTCGCTGGCTTACCCCTGAATGGCTCATTCCTTCCTGCCATAAATCTTGTCTCAAATGGACATATCATATTTTTAAAAATCTTGTTCACTGTAGCCTCATTCACACCACTCCAGCCATAAATATGCCAGGCACACTCCTACGTCAGGGCCTTTGCAGTTGCTGTTCCTTCTGCCTGGAGCACTCTTCTTCCAGATATCTGCAAAGCTCACTCTCTCCTTAAGAGTCTGCTCAGGTTGGGCATGGTGGCACGTACATGTAGTCCCAGCTACTCAGGAGGCTGAGGTAGGAGGATCACTTGAGCCCAGGAGTTTGAAACTGCAATGAGCTATGATTGTGGCTGTGAATAGCCGTGGCACTCCAGCCTGGGCAACATAGTGAGGCTCTTTAAAAAAAAAAAATGCTCAAATGTCACCTTCCTACTAAAACCCTGTCCCTGGCACTTTCTATCCTCTTCCCTGCATTATTTTTCTACCTCGTATTTATATATTTTAGATATCTAACATTTGCCCATTTATTTCTTTTGTTTGTTTTCATGCATTAGAATATGGGTTCCACAAGGGTGGGAATTTTTGCCTGTTTTGTGCACTGCTGTGTCCCTGGAAGCTAACAACAGGAGGCTCTTAATAAATCACTGTTGGACGGATGCAGTGGCTCACACCTGCAATCCTAGCACTCTGGAAAGCCAAGGTGGGAGGATTGCTTGAGGCCAGGAGTTTGAGACCAGCCTGAGCAAGATAGAGACCCTATCTCTGCTAAAAATAGAAAAATTACCAGGGTGTGGTGGTGTGTGCCTGTAGTTCCAGCTACTCAGGAGGCTGAGGCAGGAGGATCACTTGAGTCCAGGAGTTTGAGTTTGAGGTCACAGTGAGCTATGATGACACCACTGCACTCTAGCTCAAGGAACAGAGGGACATCCTGTCTTGAAAAAAAAAAAAATCATTGTGGAACAAATCTGTTTTCTGCCACAAGAGCCTGATCCAGGTTCTGCTCCTGCTGGTGACATGTAAGTTGCCTGGATGGAACAGGTGTGGAACTGGCCTGAGTCCTGGGGTCTCACTGTCAGCCTTGCACTCAGCCCAGTCTCCAGTCCCCTGCTGCAGGGATGGCAAGGGGGCACCTAGGCTGCCGGGCATGGCCCTGGGATCCAGCAGGTCCTTGGCAAGAACCCAGAGGGCCAATGAGGACGGTGCCAGAATCTGTCCATATTCTTGGACGAAGGGTCTGGGCCAGTCTCTGGCTACTTGGACCTCAGTTTCCACAGGTGGGTCTTTGCTAACGGGCTGAGGCTTGTGTTGGTACCAGCAGGAAGCAGAAGGGATGTGGTGAGGGGGAGAACTGGGAGAAAGGAAACAAGGAAGCCTGGGTTGTAGACTCCAGTGTGCAGCAAACACTTACGGTGACCTCACATAAGTCGCTGGTCTGCTCTGGGCCTCAGTCTCCTCACCGAAAAGTGATAGCAATTTTCAAATGCTGCCATACTGTTATGTAGAGAAATTAAAAGCTGGACCAAACATAAATAAATAAATAAATAACAAAAGAAAGAAAAAGAAAAAAGAAGCATCCACCAATTTTCTGGTTATTTTCTAAGCCCTGTTACAGCTCTGACCTGTGGGGCAGAGGTTCCCAACCTATGGTGAGCTGTATAATTATTTATTATATGTTACAATGTAAAGATAATAGAAATAAAAGTACGCAATAAATATAATGTGCTTTAGTCATCCTGAAGCCATCCTCCTGCCCCCCGACGGTGGAAAAATTGTCTTCCATGAAACCGGTCCCTGGTGCCTAAGAGGTTGGGGACTGCTGCCGTGGGGCACTCCATGGGCTTGCATGGGAGTCCTGAGCCCAGGGGCAGAAGTTAGATGCTTCAGATGTGACATCAGGATTGAGTCAGAGAGGGAAGGTCTTGTTCAAGGTCACACAGCAGATCAGTGACAGAATGAAGACTGGAACTTGAGTCCTCTGTTTTCGGCTTGGGCTAATGAGGGGAATCCCTGCACTCTGTGATGTCAGCTCCCAGGCTTGGAACTAACCTCTGGGCGAAACCAAAATGGTGTGCGGTGAAAGCAGGAAGGCTGGGGGGAGGGAATGCGGGACCAGGGGAGGGTGGGCCGAGGCCTCATCTCAGAGGCTCCCAAGCACAGGTGGTGTGACCCTGAGGCTAGGCCAGGAAGGGTGACCGGAGGCCCACAGTCTCGTCCCTGATCCCTGGGCCTGCCTCCCCTCGTGCACATGCAGCTCACCCCACGCCCGATCGCGACCCCACCAGCATTAATTCTGCAGTGTGCGCCCGTGGCAGCAACAGGGGGTTGGGTGTCTAGCCCTCTCCTGCCCTAAACGTGGCATCTGTCATGGGACCAACAGCCCTGGGAGGGAGAGTCTGGCCAGGGGAAAAGGGCTTCTCTCCCTCTGTCCCACCTTATCTTTCTCCTTGTAAGCTTAGGGGGCGCTGTGTACCCTGCCGCTTTTGCAGCCCTGGCAGACACTCGGGGAGGGCTGAGAGGAAGAGGGTGAAGGGGTGCATGAATCAGTCCTGGGAAGACTGAGCTATGCAGGAGTGAGGGGAGGCCAGGTCTGGTGAGTGCTGGGAAGGAAGAGTTCAATCCCAGGAAGCAGGGACTGCAGAGGAAAACCACCAGCCTGAGGATGAAAAGTCCCAGTTCGAGTCCCAGCTCTGCTGTGCCCTTTCCTCTTTGTGCCCTCTTGGGCAAAATGGCCAAATCTTCTGAGCTTCAGTTTCCCCCTCTGTAAAATGAGGCCCACACTCCCAGCCCTGCCCACCTCTCAGCCTGGATGTGAAGACGAGCTTGGGAGGGGTCATGGGTCAGGGACCTGGCTGGCTCGGGAGTCAGACAGCCCCACACTCCTCCTTTCAGCCCCGCACTTCCCAGAGTGTGACCTTGGGTCAAGACTTGTAACCTCCCTGTGCTGGGCTCATCTACCAAGTACCAGCTGGGTAGGACTGCTGTGACAATTATGCATACGAAATGGTACAGTGATCTTAGG